TCAGAAGAGTCATGGGCACAAAGGAGGCATTGAAGACATGAGTTATGACAGGAAAGTTACAAGAGTCCTATAATTAGAGCCATTAATTACAATAATTAAATCTCCCATTAATTGTATAATACAACACATATAAATACTCTTATACATCTATTTATATATAAGAAAAGAGATAACTCATAAAAATACAATTTTACCTTTCATTAATCCTAGGTATCAAGCTCTCCACAATTCACTCATTTTCTATAAAAATGACACGTGGCCTTTTCACCCCAAATGTACGGAAAACAGTGAAGGAAAGGAAGGGTGGGCGCATGGAATTCTATTTGGTGGGACCCAAGCTATAAAAAATCCCAATTGTTTTAAAAATGTTGTAACTTTTCATTTTTGCTCCAATTTTTACAAAAAATATATCAAAATTTATAATTTTTTGTGATCTTTCGTTTGAGATCAATATCAAATATAAAAATATAATTTATTAACCGTCTCTATAGTTATATATAAAATATAAAATAATTCTATTATTTTTATAATTCTGTTTTTTAAGAAGAGAACCGAACACACCATTTAGTATTGCATATAAAAAATTAAAAAAAATCTAAAGATTTATTAAGCAACCTATTTATAATTATGTTAAAAATTATATCAAAGTGACTATAAAAATATACTCATACCAATTTAAACAGTTTTATATTCCCAAGTGTCTATTGCAAAGGTCACAAGAATTATGAATTTTAATATATTTTGTAAAAGTTAGTTAAAATGAAAATGTTATACTACTTTGAATATAAATAGATTAAAAAGGATCATTGATAAAAAAGACTAGCCCTTATATAATACAAAAATGCTTATATGCTCATTTTTCATTTGAAATTATGTGTCGTTTGCTTATAGCCCTGTTTTGGATTTGTCAACTTTATCAGTCAATTTTTTATCAAATACTTAATTTTTTTCCGCACACTGAATTGTGTAATGATCAAAATAAGAAAGTCTAACATTAATTTTTGAATTATTAGGGGACCCTATTTTTGGATTTATCAACCTTATCAATCAATTTTTTAACATATAAGTAAATTTTTATTTCCCACACTGGATTGTACAATGATCAAAATAAGTAAGGTTTGAATGAATTTACTGTACTGAGATAATTTTAGCTACTTTTTCATATAAATTTTTGCATAATTTAGTAGATTCAACCAGTTCAGCGCTTTAATCTAGAAAATCATCAATTTCAAACTATTTTGCCAATTTATGTGTTACCAAACTAACTCTAAATAAAATTCTAAATGAAAAAGATGTTCAATATATGATATTAATGTCATATGAAATTCTTTTAAATATAAGATAAACCGACTAACAATTGAGGAGAGTAATTTTGTCTCTCATATGTAGTGCTTTTAGTTATGAGATAAGATAGCTAACAATTGATCAGGAGAATTTTATCTCTCATATGAAGTGGTTTTAGCTATAATAAAGAAACTCGCACGGATAGATCAGTTAGTTGAGTGATGGGAAATTTGGATCAAGGACCAAAGTTCGAATCCCGCAGCGACCGTGTGAAAGTTAAAACTAACGAATATTAGTTAAATAAGAACTTGATAATCATTAGTTAAATTAGTGCTAACATATGAGAGAAAATCTGGCTAACAATTAAAAGACAATTTTGCCCTTAATGAATCATACTACCCCCATCCCGAAAAACTTTGCCATTTTCAAAAATTTGAACCTTGATTTTGATTAGTATAATATTATGGAAGCTATTGATTTTATACTTTTATAAAAGTAATTTTAACAAAGAACATTTTCATATAATTTTTATATTATAAATAATTTTGAATAAAAAGATATGGTCGGTCAAAGTTTTGAAAATGTCAGAGTTTTTTGGGATGGAGGTAGTATGTCTCAATTTATCCATAATTCACTCTTTTCCTATGAAGATGCCGCGTGGCTGATTCTATTTATTTAAGAAGAGCACCGAACACGGTAAATTATACCGTACAACCGGCTGTACGGTGAGCACCGTACAGCCGGGTATTTTTGAAATTAAATACAACTTCTGGGCTGAATCTTACTAGTTCTCCCTGCTTTCCTTCTGTTTCCGTGGTTTCCGTCGGTTTCTTTCTTCCTCCTTTTTCCTCCGTTTCAGACTTTAGTTCGTCTTGTCTCTGCTTTCCTTCTCGTTCCTTATGCTTTCCTTGTGGTTTTCTTCTAGTTCCTGTTTCTTTGTTACAAATCTTTGTTTTGAATCTTACAACTTTTTTTCCTTCTGCTTTCCTTCTGGTTCGTGGTTTTGTACTTTTGATTTGTTTTTATTTTTTGATTTGTTTTTTCCGTACGTTGCTCTAGTCTGGTGTAAAAACAATTTTTACATATTGTTGTTTTGTTTTTATTCTTCGTTTCTTTATTCTTTTTAGTTTAACAATCTTTGATTGCTTTAATTTTTTATTCAATTCAAATGAAATTGTAAAATATAAAATATTATTTAATGTTGGAGTTTTTATTTCAAGTAACCTTATGACTTATTTATTAATTTACGTATTATAAATATCTTAAATATTAATACATTTATGTGTCTGTAGAGTAAGTGTGATCACGTCAGCTTCTGTGGCTCTCGCAACCACTTCATTACAATGAATTTTATCAAATGAGTATAACTCCTAAAATGAATGTACAGACACAAATGAGCTTTTGATTTTTCGATACTCATTTTGTAAATTGTGTATGCTTATTTGGTACCGGTCTTCTGCTCATTATAATTTTACATAAGACTTGATTATAGACCCGAGAACACAAATCATGATGCTCAACCGCATAATGCTAATACTCAATAGAGGATGTTTGATGCTCAATAAAAATATCTTAATGCTCTACTAAAAAACTTATGACTTTCATATTAATGCTCATTTTTTAAGTTACGTGTGCTCAATTGGTACTTCTATTATGCTCATTTTTAAAATGTCATAACAATGCATATTCTAAAAGTATCATATTACATTAGATTCACATATTGAAATTCATAGGAATTGGTTATGGATATAATTTAATGAGTTTTTATAAAAGAAAAAATAAGAAAAAGAAAGTGAATTACAATATATGAAGTTGTTATCACAATACTCATTATTCGACTCTAAATGCTCAGTAGAATATGTCTGATGCTCATTAAAAGTGTGTTAATGCTCATCTAACGAAAACCGAGATTTTTACTGAAATTACGAAAATGCCACCGTTTTTTAGTTGTGATATAGCTTTCTTGTGATAGCACGGAGCTCATTGCTAGACGCTTAATACTCATTAAAATTGAACTATTGCTCATTAATAGTACACCAATGCTCATTTAGCAGAAACCGCGATTTTCACATTAATTACAAAAATGCCACCGAATTATTTTGCTATTTTCACTTGGGCCCTGTTACTGGGCCGGCTGTACGGTGCTCACCGTACAGCCGGATGTACCATATACATACTCCACCGAACACACCAAGCAATGTAGGATTGAGGAGAAACATTGAGCCTTGAGCTTTCCAAGAGTTGATGTTCTGTGTAGCCAGAGTGCCACTCACAGGTTTTGGTCCATTGACTAACACCATAGAGAGTGCACTGAGCAGAGAAGATATGTATCTATCTCCCCCAATTTTCATTGGTTTATAACATAGAGGTGATATGACTTGCTTGATTCGAGTTTTCATAGTGCTAATGTGGCTGCCATGAAACTCCCTGTAAAGAGGCATTACATGATGTCCTGTTCTTTTCCTTTTTTAGCCAACTGTTCTCTTAGGTAGTAAATAGAAGTTTGAGAAATGAATTACCCTAGGCATATAGGGAGTTATAGATCTTTGTAAATACCATCCAGCTCATGTATTCTTAGAACGTTATACTTTTTACTCTATATAAGAAAACATATTACGGAGTACTATTAAATTTATATTCCTCCAATATATGTTCCTTTGGCACCTTTCTTATTGTCTTTATCTCTTAGTTGCCTTTTATGCTCAAGAATCATAAACCAGTAAGACAAATAAGTATTGATGTAAAGTTGCACTTTTAAAATCTCCAGTACTGTTTTTTAAATCAGAGGAATTATTGGAGGGAAATTACATTTCTTTCATTTAGACCATTACCATATAAAAAAGAGTTTTTTTCCGAATTAATGCTAAATAAAAAATTATTTACAAAATTAAGGTCGGGTTAAAAGTATTTACCAAAATACTGCCGAGTCTAACCATGGTAGGACAAAGTCGCCAAACGGTTTGACGACTTTGAAATCGCCAAACGGTTTGGCGACTTTGAGGTGGCCAAATGGTTTGGCGACTCTCACATGCGAACTACTAACCACAGAGGAAGCTTGGGCAAAGAGAATATAGAAATAAATGGGGGGCCCCATTTGATATAAAACCCACTTTTTTCTTTAACAGTCCATAACTTTTTCGTTTTCGCTCCACTTTTTATAAAAAATATACCAAAATTCATGATTTTTTATTATCTTTCATTTGACACTAATATTGGATATATAAACTTTTAATAAAATTTAAGGCTTATTAAACGATATTCTTATTTTCCAATCTCTGTATGGAAGATTTCAAAAAAATAATTACACATATATGACTAAAAGAAAGATTCTTTACAAAATTGTAACTAGAGTAGTAATGAAATAATAGCAACTTCATTGTGCCGGTCATTGATTTGCGATACCACGAATAATGAGTATTGTGATAACAACTTCATATATTTTGATACCAGGAATTATTTGTTTATATAATATTAGAGTTTTTTTGCTAAAATTAAATAAAATAAAGATTATTTACACAAATATGACTATTCGTGGTATCGCAGGTCGTCTTTTTCGTTTTCAAAACTCTGGTTTTGGATTTGAGGGCTCCGGTTTTGGGTTTTGTTTTTCCTGAATTCCGATTTTAGACGGATCGAGCAAGGTTTTTGTTGAGTGCGGTGTTTGTGTTTGAGGGCCGACAATGTTCTTTTTGATGGAGATGAAGCTTCGCTTGCAGAGAGCAAGGGACATCTTGAAATCCGTTTCGTCGGCGGATATGGAGGTCGAAACAAGTTCCAAAAATTCGTTTGGGTTTTCTCTTTTCGGCCTGGAAAGCTTTGTGGACAAGTACAAGACGATGACGCGTCCCCCTCCTGAGCCGCCCCCATGGAGTTGCTCCATAAACCCGCCGAAGATGCTGGTTGAAGGTTGGAGGCCGCTAGTCAGAGGGATATTTCGAGTGTGCTGGCTTCGACATGAGTGTTTTTTACTTTGCTTTGTTTGCTACTTCAATAATTGTTGCTTTTGTTATGGTTTTTGTTTCTTTGTTTATTTTCCAGTTTGTAAGACGTTATATTTGGATATAGGGGATGAGAGCAATATAGTAACCGTTTTTGGCTTTTTGTTTCCCAGTTATGGATCAGCGAATTTTATTGCTACGATGATTAATTCCGAGTCTGGTTCGAGGGATAACGGTTGTCAGATTTCTTTTTGTCATTTGACCCATACTCTGAAAAATTATTGGTTATTAATATAAGCCGAATTCTTCCAAAAAAAATTCTAAACATTTTTTTATTTTTTTAAAAAAATAGTACGTTTAACTCCGTTATTATTTTTATTAATTCTTATAAAAATTTAAAAAACTGAATGAGATCACTCAAATTGGATTAAAAATGTTTCGAGTATTTTTAAAATTTAATTTAAGGGGGATTACTCAAATTGGATTAAAAATGTCATCTTAATAGCATTTTGAGAGAGAAAATAGCAGTTTTTTTAAATGACATTATTTTTACCGATAGGATGTGATATTGCTGCGAGGTGGCGGAGGCTGCGGGAATGGTCTTCATTTTTATATTTTTATGTGTTTTATCTATTATTTAATTTATTTTTCCAGTTTTACTACGCAATACTTCTAAGAAAAATCAATTTTTTAGTTTTTATTACTCCGTAATATTGTTTTTGAATGTTTGATATTTTTTTCAATCTTATTATAAATTAAAAAAGTTTTTTTTATGATTTTATTACAAATTAAAATGTGATTTTCCTATTAAGTTATAGTAAGGCTAGAATATGAAGATAAAATATATTTTAATCATATTTTGTGAAGATAAACGATATGATTTTATTGTGCATTTACGGATTTGTTTACAGCTAATTTGAAATATTTTTTGTTTAATGTAACATATACTCAAGTATATTGTATGTTTATGTTTCACTAATAATAGTGTGAGCCTTTACGGTATTGATATGGTTCGATGTAGATTTTCACACAACAAAATAAGTACTACGGAGTACCTCCGTCCCATATTAAACTTCCAATTGCGAGTTACGGAGTTTGACCAGCGAAAAAGTTAAATGATCCATGTGAAAACTCGGATTATTTTTAGAAAATAAAATTTACATATTCAGAAACTACATCAAACCCGCTACAAAGCCTGCAAAAAAAATCACTTTTTATAAAATTTTGATATATAAAGTAAGAGTTTAAGTGTGATTTAAGTTGACCCTCGAAAAGCGAAATGGAAGTTTATTTAGGGACGGATGGAGTAGTAAGTTGGTAGCCATTGATGTTACTTAGCCTTAATTTGTCAGCGATTCGAATCCCCTAGGTGGCGTTAGTTTTTATGAAAACCCTTGGTAAGGGCCAGATTTGGGTGAGAGATGGCTTAGAGCATCTCCAATGGTAAAATGTACACTTGCACGTGGCATGAGAAATGACCACATAAATATTACGGAGTAGTAAATAAATTGATGTTGACATTGCAGGGAAAAACTTATCAAAATTGTATAAAATCATTCAAATAAGGAGAAAGATAATTTATATGCTAATATTTATGTGGCTATCACTCATGCGGTCATGCCACATGTGCACCGTGCACATCATAGCATTGGAGATGCTCTTACTATGTCGCCTGTCATTAAATATTGCAATAAAAATGAAAAATTAAAAATTAAATATGAGAAAATTAAGGATGACCTACTATAAGAAAATTTAGGTATTTTGTAATTTATTAGAGTAAATGAGTTTATATGATCTTTTTATAGTACATGGGTTTAAGTGATTGTTCTGCAATTGTATATGTGTGTATTTGACTCTTTTTCCTTTAAAACATACGGAGTACTAAGTTATATAGACACACATACACAGACAATATTAATTTTAATAAGTACCTTACTGGATGGGCCGGGGTAGAGACTAGAGGGGGGAAGGGGGTTTGGCTGGGGTAGAGACCTAGAGCAAGGGGCTTTGTTTATATACGAAGGCATGTGTGAGTTGCTCAAATGTTTAGAACTTTTGACTAATTCTCTGCTCTGTGTATCTGTTTGTAGAAAAAGCTTTTTTGAGAAGTTATTTCAACTTGAAAGTACCTTTACAAACAAAAACTCTTTATTTATACATTTCATTTCTTCTTCTTTTTTGATGATCCTGGTGTCGGTGCTTGCGCTCCTCTAATAATGGAGTCTATGAACTACCCTTCAAAGCCTCTAGACAATTAAATTCGCATATGATCACAGTCAGTCTCGTCGGTACTGGTTCCACAAGGCAGATCCAGTAGGACTTCCAAAGCCTGCCGGCCCAACTGAAACTAGGGGGTCCTCCTACCACACGAATCCGCAAAGTTGCATTACCATCCTCTCCCTTCTTAGCCGTTGATCAAATTCGTGAAGGTAGGAAGAATCATTAAGAGCAAGACCTCCCTCATCTTCTCTTGGTGCATAGCGGGTTTCGAACACGAGACCTCACATATACACCGATAATCTCACAATCAGTTGGACTGGTATGCTCGGTTACATTTCATTTCTTAAATGCATTAAGCTTTACACCTCACTCTTTTAGGGTAAAATTGGACTTTGCACTCTCGTATTCAAGAATAATAATGTGTGCATTTCATTAGATAAAATAGTTATCTAATGGTCCCAATCTAATAACTTTTTTTTATACTTCTTAAACCTTCGAACTCTCTCGGGATCTCCCCAACATCCTCCCCACAGTTTTTCATTTTTAAATGAACTCCTCCTTTAAAATGATAACCATGGTTCTAATGCGAAAAAAAAAACTTAAATAAGACTAGAATGGGCCGGGAGCAGATCGGTCAATCCTGCTCCCAAAATGTGAGACCCGAGACCCTTTCCTTCTGGTCCGTTATCCATGTCTCGATTCAAAAATCAGTTGACCCCACTCTTTGCGGGGCTAATATATAATATAATGTTCATAACTAATAGTGAGTTGATCCTTGTATAACTAATATATAATATAATATTTATAGTATATAATATATAAGTATATTACTATAAGATGAGTAATACACTTATATTTAATACTTTAATATGTATAAGTAAATAATAATAAGTATAGATAATAAGTAGATATCAAAGTAAATATTAAGAAGATAATAAGTACATATTAAGTGGGGTGAGATCACATACAAACTATTCCTCCCATGCTAACCTACAAACTGTCACAAAATGTGCATCTTCACATTATTTGTACTGCATATTATAGTTCAAAGTGTTGCATATCATTTGTATTGCATATTTAAGTTCAAACTGTTGCATATTATTTCTATTGCATATTGAAGTTCACAGCGTGCATCTTTACATTATTTGTATTGCATATTGAAGTTCAAAGTGTTGCATATTATTGAGTTTGTAGGTTAGTAATTTAAGCATGGTTTGTATTTGATCTCTTGTCTATATTAAGTAGATAATAAATATTAGTAATATAATATATGTATATATAAGTAGATAATTAATATATAAGTAGATATATATAAGTAACAATAATAAGTATAGATAATAAGTAGATATCAAAGTAAATATTAAGAAGATAATAAGTATATATTAAGTAGATAATAAATATTAGTAATATAATATATGTATATATAAGTAGATAATTAATATATAAGTAGACATAATAATAATTATATATAATATATATATATTGATAGAGTATTAATTCTAGAGAGAAGTGAGAGCTAGAGAGAGAAAGTGAGTAATTATATTTCTCAACCCCCTATAACTAGCCCCAAGGGGTCTATTTATAGGTAAAAATGTGGATTTGGGCTCCTAGCCATGGGCTTAGGAGGCCCATTACAATAATCATGCCTTCTTTGGGCGAAATAGGGCCACTAATGGGCTGAGTACAATACTTAGCAAATAAAGTAGAGAGATGCATTCTGCTAGGACGAGGCCTGGCCGATGAGGTGCACTTTTGGCCGATGCGGTCCCATGGCCGATACGGTCCATGGGCCGATGCGGTCCCGGGAGTCCATGCGTGCTTCCTGGGCCGGTTTGGTTTCTGGCCGATGCGGACCCACTGGCCGAAGGGGGCCACGTGGGTGTCCTTCTGGCCATCGTTGACTTGAGTATGTGGGCCATGGGGTCCGGGCCCATATACTCTATCAGGAGTCCCCCACTCTCTGAGCTGAGGCGAAGCCGAAGCGAAAGGGAGTATTTGTTCCTTCCTGGCTGGCCGTCGCGAGAGTTTGAGGCGCTTGGTGGCCGAAGAGTATCTGCCTTGATTTTGGATGAAGCGGCTTCTTTACTTGATGTAGACGTAGCGCGCTTGAGGATCCACAGCCTTGGTGCGGCCGATGCGCTCTCTGTGAAGTGCCTTGAGGATGATGCGCTTCCTTTTTTGTAGGTGATGTGATGAATTCTGTTGTGGATAAATTGGCATGCTTTTGCCGTCATCTTGTTGGGGCCGAAGAGCTCGCCATCTATTCTTTTGGCCGTAGCGATGACATATTTTCATGAGATGAAGATGGTTGATTCCATTTACGTAGACGAGGCGATGCACGCCTTTGATTTGTCATGTAGCCGAAGCGTTTGGTTTGTGGGTTCTTGCTCTGGTTAGCCAATGCGGTCCTTAGTGCTTTTTGTAATTGGCGGGCCGTAGCGCACCCTTTTTGTATCAAGGCCGTTGTGCTCCCTTTTGTTTCCTTTCTTGTGGCCGATGCAGTCCCCCAGTCCCCCACTCCTTTGGCCGAAGAGTATCTGAGGCACAAGGGAGTCATGATGTTCTTGAGCCGATGCGGTACCCATGCGTTAGTCGTGAGTCCACCCTTAGGCGAACCTGTCCAAAGTAACCCTGTGGGAGAACCCTTGGACGAAGGCCGCAATACCAGGGTCATCATCAAACGATGTGCGTGCGAGTAGCCGTAGCGGTACTTGTGTTTTTTGGGGTTGATTTGGGGCCGTAGCGTGTTTGTTGATGCGGCCATTTCCTTGGTGAATTGGGCCGTAGCGAGTTTCTTATTGTGTTTGAGCGAGTAGGCCGGTGCCTACCCCTAGTTTCGGGGCCTATTGGGCCGTAGTGGTGGCTTTAGAGTGGAATGTGAAAAGACAAGCGCTGATTGGCTTCTAGGAGAGGCGCCGTTGAGGTGCCCAATTGGGGATTGCCACGTGTAGTGACCGT